TGCCATAGAGAGGGTGAAATCCCGTTTAATTTTCAGGTGTCTTATTGCCGGTACGCTGGGGAAGCGAGTTGTTAATGTTCGAAGGAAATTCGTTTTGCTAAACACTTCACTTAATCACAGAATCATAGAACTGTCAGGGTTGGACGGGATCTTAAAGCTCATCTAGTTCCAATCCCCTGCCATGGGTAGGGACATCCTCCACTAGATCAGGCTGCGCAGAGCCCCATCCAGCCTGGCCTTAAAAACTCCCAGGGATGGGGCTGCCACCCCCTCTCTGGGCAACCTGTGCCAGGGTCTCACCACCCTCATGGGGAAGAACTTCTTCCTAATGTCCAATCTGAACCGACCCATCTCCAGCTTTAATCCATTCCCTCTAGTCCTATTATCATCCGACATCCTAAAAAGCCCCTCACCAGCTTTCTTGTAGCCCCCTTAAGATACTGGAAGGCCACAATAAGGTCTCCTCAGAGCCTTCTTTTCTGCAGACTGAACAGCCCCAACTCTCTCAGTCTGTCTTCATAGGAGAGGTGCTCCAGCCCTCTGAGCATCCTCACGGCCCTTCTCTGGACATGCTCCAGCACGTCCGTATGAACTGTTGTCTGGTCAGTGTGTATTGAGACACAAAACTCCCTGAGATATGTGAAAATGCCGGCCTCCTATTTTCCAACAAACCACTTTGTTTATAATTTGTGACTTATTTCTTGATGTGTTTAAAAAAAGAAAAAGACTAAATTACTCTTTGACAAGAGGAATCTACAAAGACTAATTGTTTTCAGTGTAACCGGCTTATAGTAAAGTGATTTTAAAGTGTGCGTATTTTATGTTAAACGTGCTTCCTATCACTAATGTTTTATCTCTCTCTGTGCAGGTACACGGGTCCACTGTTGGAGGAGGAAGCCCTGAATAAAGCGGCAGAAAATGGATTGGCTTCACCAGAATTTTCTGAGCTTTGTGTTTGGTTAGGTTCCCAAATAAAGTCACTTTGTAATATGGAAGAAAGCATCACTTCAACAGATGGTATATGAATGTCAATATGTTAAAGCAGTTTAGTATTTGTTCAGTGAATTTAGACCCATATTGTTCAGCTGAGAGTGAAAGTACAGTGTTGAAGTTTAGAAGGTAGCTGAAAGGTAGCCAAACCAAGGCTGTGGCACTTAGATTAAGGTCTTGTCTTGTAAAGATTCTGTCAAAGGGAAAAAAAAAAAGTGGTATGGGTTGCGATGTTTGGTTTTTTTTACATCTCCATAAATGTAGAAAGTACATTCATGCATCCTATTAGTGGTTGTTTTATGTAATCATATTTTGATGGCTTACGTTCTCAGTGCCTCGTATTTTCAGCTAGTAGGCCCGATGCCATGTTCCACTCAGCACTGTGTGTAGATACACGAGTTGCTCGTTAGCATTACCGGATTCTTTTTGAGTGCTGGAGCTTGGATGAGGTTTTATATTGCTTTACATTTATCTGCACTGATGTCTTCAAAGAGCTGCTGTAGCATCACTTTCTTGTTTGAAGACTGAGTACAATATTGCTGTAGCTATTAAAAAGGTTTTCTGCTTGTATGTAGGACTTGCTTAAGAAGAAAGAGGTGGTAAGTCTTTGTCTGGACTATTGTAACCTGCAATTAAAATGTGTAAGGTAAAAAAATTAGATTACCATTTTGGTGTTTCTGTAAAAAACCATTAGCTTTACATTTATTTATTCCCACAGGTGATAAAGATATAGAGAGCTTCCAGCTTGAGATTAGTGGCTTTCTGAGAGAAATGGCTTGTCCCTATTCATCACTTATATCTGGAGACATCAAGGACAGATTAAGAGAGAAAGAAGATTGTTTCAAACTCCTCTGTAAGTTATAACTATTTTTCTCCATTTTTAATACAGCATTTTACATGTGTGCTCTATTTTTAATTTAAAATTTACATCAAATAGTTCTTTATGTGTATTGAAGTATGTATGTACAATTGTTACAACCTAACTGAGCATGTATCAGCTTATTTGTGCAGAAGTAGAAAATAGAAAACTGTTAGAAAATTATTTTAGTAGAAACTAAAATTTCTTGGTGAAGTATGGTTCAACCTCCTGAGCTCTCTCTTGATCCAATTCCAGCTCAGCTGAAACTGAGACTATGCTTCCTATGTTTTTGAGAGGTCTCTGGGCAGCTTAAAAGAAAATGCTATGTGAAGTGAAGGTGCTGAAAGCAGGAGTAAGAGAAGCAAAGTCTAGGTTTAAGCTGGACTTGGACAAAGGAGTAGCAGCAGGAACCGGTGTGATAATATGAAACTAAGTGAGGAACTAGGGATCTGTTGGCAGAAGTGAGTTAACCAGTTAAATACGATATGTAGACTGAAGGTAGAAAGTCAGCTGAGAGTCAGTTCAGATAAAGGATGCGAAGCTGATGCTGACCTATCCAGGAGAGAACTGAGAGAGTCTCTCCCTTTTATTGTGGTCTTGTGATAGGAGTTTGTGTTCTATTTGTATTAAGAATACGTATGCAGAAATATTCAAGCATCTCTAAATCTGCTGCTATGACCCTTTTGTCTCTAGTATTTCTAAGTACAGAACTTCAGGCTTTAAAGATATTGCACAGCAAGAAAACTAAAGGCTCTCATTTGGAAAAGCACAGTGAAATTTATCAGGAGGTGCAAGCTATTTGCGATGCACTGGGCCTGCCCAATTCCTCGTCTTCTGATATTCCTCCCTTGTTAACCAATGTGGAACAAAAGGTATGGGCTTTTCTGTGTTCTCTCTGCTGTTAAACTGTTATCTCTGTACACGTTCATCTTAGAGTTAAGAGCCCACCAGGCTGATCCATAAAAGCCCTATCTGACAAGTGCAAAGGATTTTTTTTTTCTGAAAGCCAGCTTAGTTTTTAAGTTAAACTGTTTTAGTTATGAGGTGAAATATTTCAGCATCTCCCTGAGGATGCGATGTAGCTGACGAGGCCTGTTTTACCATGCAAATGTAAGGTAGGAATTACCTATTCAAATGTGCTGCTGCAAGCAGAAGACTTTGGGTCATAACTGATTGCGCATTGATGTACCTGTAGTTATTTCTGCTGGGTATTTAAATTCAATATTCAAAACTTAAATTTTTGCTTTTTAGTTTATAAATTTCCTAATTGCACGTATTGATTCATTAATGCCATTTCCTTCATTGCAGAAGAGACTGAAAATACCTCAGTTACCAATAGCCAGCGAATAAGCCAACTTGAACCTAATTCAATAGGATAGTTCTTTTGGTTTTGTCCCACCAGTTTCTAACTAGTTTCAGTGATGAGATCCTTAATCTGGCTTCCTCACTGCAGAATGTAAATAGGCTCTTGGGGTGGAATTTTATCTTCTCCATCAGGCAGCTAAAAGTTTTATTCTGTATTTGGAGAGAGAGTGAGTGACCAGCCCCTATAAAAATTGAGAGATACATGGAATGAATCTCCATCTGCTTCTGCGAGTCTTTGAGTTTAATACTTTTAAAATATTATGTTGGTTTGGGGTCTTTTTTCCTTCCTTCTTCCTCCTCTTCTCATTGGCCAGTGAGCAACTGAACATTAAGAGGTTTTGGGGAAACGTTCTTGAATGGTATTCTTGCATCTTTACGTCTTTAGTGTGACAAGACAAAACCTTTAATAGATTTATTTATAAAAAGCAGCATCCAGGTAATGGTGAAAATGCCTGTTCTTTCCCTGTTAACTGTACTTGATCTATTTGGTTCTCATGAAATCTTTATATCTAGTCTTTCCAATAAAATATTTTTGAAAGCATGAAGAAACAATTCTAGCCCTGTTTTCTGAGGGTTAAAATGTCAGCGTTCCAGCTACAAATGATTGATTGAAACTTGCCTGTTATCTCCCTCCATGGGTGTTAGCTGCATTTACATCCATGTGGGTTTGTAGTCTGCAGCCTTGGGCAGTGGCCTTCCTCTCTCGATTCCTTGCTTCCCTTCTGCAGTACAGATTGAGTTTCATCCCAGGTTAAAGGGGTAGGACTCTAGTTCTGCAGCTGCAGAACAGCAAGACCAGACCCGGTGGGCCAGTTCCTTCACACACACCTAGAGAGTCTATGAAGTTTTCTCTGAATTGTTAGACACCTGGTATCTGCCACCTTTTTGGATAGGATCACAGGCTTGAATTGGTGTGTAGGCTGTTACTTTTACAGTTTATGTGAACTGTTAAGATTTTCATGAGTACTGAAATGACCACAATCTTTAAAGACCTTTTCTTTTTAATAATACTATCTGGGCTATTTTGCGATGGTTCTCAGGTCTGTCACTTCCACAGTGATTATCCACTTGTATTCACTTCAGAGCATAGAAGTGTGCCAAAATTAGTTCGTTTATCTTCTGTGACTCCAAATTAACAGTGCAATTTGTTCTCTACTTGTTTCATCCCTTACAGTCAAAGGATTTTTCGTCTTGCCTCTCAGGAGATTTTGTAGAATTCCTGCTACATGTTTCCGTGTCCTTCGTTCCTTACTTTAATACAGGACAGGTTCAGAGTTACTCTGATACAGCACATAGTTGGACACCTCCATTTGTAGGTGTGTAGGTGTAGCTGCATGGGGACAGTGATACCACCAATTGGAGTTCATTTGCATTGTAAACATTTTTTCAGAGTATTCTCACAAAATTCACATGAAATGATCAATTTCTTTTTCCAAATATTTTGTTGCTTCTGATTTAATTAGATTCTGTGTGAAATTGCACTGTTGATTTTTTAGTATTATATCATTTGTAATAGAAACTTACATAGTAATCTAGTATTTTTATTGATTTTGCAAATGTATCTGCAGCATTTCAACATGTCTACTCTTTGTCTCTGTCTAGCATCTTCAGCATTGTCAGTAGCTGTGGGAATAGTTCTGAGAATAGTTTGGCTGTGCAGCAGCAATCTACCAAAGGGACAGATCACACATTGTATTTTGGTATGGAACGTCAGAACATTGATTTTTTTTTTTTATTATTTTATTTTTTAAATTATCAGTTTATATCAGGATTGCTTTCTTCATTCAGACTATGAGTTTTATAGTAGCTCAAACTTTGAATATGTAATCGTAGGCAGTCCCTTTTAAATTTGCGTCTCCTGTAACAGTGTAGTGGTTGTCAATGCACATCAACAGTATTCCAGCCTCCTACCACTGAAAAGATTAATAGTGGGGTTTTAGTTGCTTTTTTTTAAGAAGCTGTTCCCTTGTGTATTTACAAGGGATAACTCTGGGAGTCATTCTTAAACTTTGTACTAAAAGCCCCATAAACTCTAAATGAACATTGATCAAAGATTCAGGAAAGTTTATGATGGTGGTGGACTTCGTAGCTCATGCTCACAACTGGCTTTTTTTCTAGTCAGGATGCTGTGAATTTCACACTTAATTACAAAGTGGCATTCTAATACAGTTTATTTGAAAGACTTAATATATTATTCAAAAGACTTGTAAATTTTTTTTGCTCACATTATCTAATATGTGAAAAATAGTCCCCTAATAAATGAAATGAATGAAACTATAAAGATTTATAGAACTATAGAAACTATAAAGATTTACTGAAGAAACTAAATCGAAATTAAGCTGAAATAACATTCATGTGAAATATGAGAAGAATGTATTTAAAAATATTTAGGAATACTTCCTAAAATCTGTTCATATTAAAATTGCTGTGTTGCTTGTAACTGTTAGTGTTTAATAACCTTGCAGACATAATGGTGCCTGTACATTAGGCATTGATGTAGTTACAGGGAGCAAGACAAAAGAGTTGTCCTCTTCACCGGACATAAAGGTCAAACAAAAATATCTTTAAAATTAGATAAATATTGAAATTAGAATGATCTGCAGGTAAATGGAAGAGAGGCAGAGAATGAGTTAAAAATATTCTGTGCTTAACATTTTAGGTGATCTTTCTGCAATTGAGCAGTACACCTTATGGCTAATTAAGAAAACGCTCCTTCCTTAATATTGGTAGTTTAACTTCAGTTAATAAAATGACACCTCTCTCCAGGTCAGGTTTTAGAAGCCGCAGAGGTGCATGCTTATGTGATGTTTATCTGTGCAAATGGTGCTAAGCATAAAAATTAATGCTCTATTTTAGACAGATGGTAAAGATAATTAATAAATATATGGAATATGGAAATAAGATGTGAGCTATAAATTTTTTAAAGGAGTGTAGAATCATTGAATCATAGAATGGCCTAAGCTGGAAGGGACCTTAGAGATCATTTTAATCCAGCCTCCCTATCGCCAGGGACGCCACCTCTCAACTAGATCAGGCATTGACTTATAAAGCAGATGAGATGTCGGGTTCAATGCCTAAAGGTATACTTTATTTGGTAACAACAGAATATAGTTTTGTATAGTAGACTTTGACGTATTTTTGTCTGAAGCAAATCCAATAACTGATTTGTTTTAAACTATTTTTAGAGTGTGTGTGAACTTCCAAAGCAATCTCATAAATATTTGATAATAACAAGGTCATTGATTACACAATATGTTGAATAAAGAAATATATTCCTCTCCATCTAGCTTTTAATTAATTGGTTTGCTTTTGACAGCTGAGTATGTCAGACCTTTAGGATGATTTTGGTGTTAAAATTTGGGTTTGCTTTTCTGTGTTTTCACTGCTCTGTTATATGAGCACTGCCTTTGGTATTGTTCCCACAGATACCCACAGACTTCCTTCTGGGTTGTGGTTGTGAGTTTGTTTGTTTTTTTTCTTTAATTCATGCTTATCCTTCTTAATCTAGGGCAACTGTCATGTTTAGGAATGTGGGTTTTAGTGCAGATTTACACATCAGTAGTGTTCTTGTCCTGTAGCAGACGGGTGTATCTCAGAGCTCTTCTGCTGGTAGCCCTGCTCTGACTGTGAGGCAGCTCAGCTCATTTCACCACTGTGGTTGTTGGAGATGCCCGAAGAGTCCTGCTCACAGGAGTGAGCGGGCAAGGCAGAGATTCAGTAACCTGGGTGTGACATTATAGTGTGTCCCAAACATGAACATAGGCCAGTTTGTCAGTGAGAAGATTCCTCCTTAAATGTCACTCAATTGATAAACCCGTTGCTGTGTAAAATGACATAGGTATTCTCTTTAGCTTGGAAAGAAAAGGTTGCAGAAATCTGGAGGCAGTTTCCCAGTGAATAAAGGATTGTTTCATTTAGCTGTCTTGTTTCTTCTGGTTCTGATTTTCACTGATTCTATTCCATAGTTGTTCTCACTAAACTTTCTTTTGTTTTCACTTTGTGGTAATCAGGAGTAGCCAGCGCTGGATTGGATCTGTTATTTGTGATCAGCTTGTCATGGCAAAATGTCTGGCTTTTGTATGTGGAGCCCAGTGTTATGTTTACGACTTAGCTGCCCTGTAGCTGCCCTTGCAATAATTCTAATGTCTAGACAGTATTCAGTATCACTGATTTTCAGATTTTCTTTTGCTCTATAACTATAAATTATGTTAAGGATTTGTTTTGATTTTGTTGTGTTGGTTTTTTTTCAGCAGCCAGTCTCTCTCTTCCATGCAACTTGTTAGAATCTTTGAGGTTACATTTCTGACCTTAACTTTATATGAATAGACATCTCTTGCCTAAGAGAATTTTTAATTCATCTGCTGTTTATTTCTTCTTCTATACTAACTACTCATTTCTTCATCTTTTGCTGTCATGCTGTTCTTACTCAGTTTTTGATTCTTCAGACATTTGTTTGAATTCAAGAAACTTTGTGCTTAGGTAGGTTTGAATTTTGAATTAGATCATGAGAAGCATCATGTGCATGCTTCACTAAAATCAAAACAAGTTGCTTACATTTAGAAGACAAAGCACACGGCCCTGGAGGTGTTTTTGTGAATTAAAAAAAAAAAAAAGTTGGAAGGAAGCAAGAATTACTAGAGAAAGAGGAGTGTAGGGATCAGTAGAGTGTATGGAGCTGAGCTCCACCTCTTACTGTAACCTCTTTTTTTTTGTATGGATGGGGTATAATAGCAGGCAATATTACAGTAACTAGGCAGCCACTTTTCAGATACTGCTAGGCTATCTTTTCTCCTTGAGTCAAAACACTGTTTTCCCATAATTTGCTGGCTGCACATTATTTTTTACTTCAGACTGTTTTAGGGGGTCTTGTGTTTTTAATTTGCCACAGTGTTGCCTGAAAATGATGTAAAAAGAACAAAATGCATATTTTGGTTTTCACACAAAATTTGAGATCAGATTCTTTCCTTGGTATATGTAGAAAAAGGAGGTTGTTACAAAGGCCCTGAAACACAAGAGTTGATTTATCAAGTATTCCTTTTCAAGTAGCTTTCTTTAATCATTTAGCTAGGTGGTCTGGAATTTTCTTTTTGTAATGGATGATAAGCCAGAAGATGCCTATCTGTATTTATGAGTCTACTGAAACAAATGTGCTATCTTGTGCTGAAATAAATGTAAACGTAATTTGTGTTCTGAGAAGAAGTATGTGTTTTGTTTCAGATAAAGGACATTCTCTCAAAAGTTCAAAATAACCATGTGGGGAAATCACTGCTAACAAAACCTCTGAATTCTGATCAAGTGGTAAAAAACTCTCTCAATTTCTTTTCTGTATTTAACAGGATGGTCAAAATTAATGAATACAGCTTCATCTAACTTTGTCCATTTTACAATTGTTCAAATGCTAAATATTAATATTAAAATTTCCTTCAATTACTAAATAGTGATAATGCTAATCAGATACTTCCAGAATTAATGTTATAAAACAGACTTAGTGTTGAGTCATCCACTTAGTAGCTTTCAAAACATTTCATATATACATAGTACTGTAGCACTACACAGATGCACCCTTAATTTTGCAGAGTTTATAGTGGTCACCTGGCGATAGACATTTTAGTTGCTTAACAAGGTTAACTTTAAATTGACTTCTACTAGTTTATAAATTTGAATGTTTGTATTTTATATTGTAACACTGCAGGAAAGATTGGAAAAGATCAATGATGCTCTTCGCAGCGAGTACGAATGTCGCCGACGGATGTTAATGAAGAGACTGGATGTGACAGTGCAGTCTTTTGGCTGGTCTGATAGAGCAAAGGTAAGCTTGCTGTATTTTTTGCTTCCTGTAGGTGGGAGTCTGCTGCAGTTCCCCAGGTTTTTCTATGGTATATACGTACTCTGTAAATACACTTCCATTGCTGTTGTCTTCTTTCTAACCGGTTTCTCGTCCTGGGTTGTAACATCCAAATCCTAGGTACTGAGGCAGGGGAAGGATTTCACCAGATGGCACAGTCCTTCCTTTGTGACTGTTTATAGCTTCATAATTAAAGTCTAGCATCCTCTTGGGGTTTCTCACTCCCATAAGATCACATCTCTCCTTTTTCTTGCCTATATCCAACCCCCTCCAGTCAAGTAAACAAGGAGGGAACCTCAGCATTTCTCAGGCAGGTGGAAGAGGAAGAGGAACACTGGGCCTTAACATAGACTGGATGCAAAGAGTGACCACCCATAAAGTCAGTGAGATTACTGCTGCCTATCTTGGATTCAAAGCTACTGCCTAAGCAGATGGTCAGCTGAACAGGTTATTTGAATAGCAGCTTGTATGAGAAATCTTTCAGCTGGCTGAACATTCTGAACCAATCCTCTGGGTTTTCTCTGCTGGTATAATTTTAACTGTGATCATTTGATTTGTGCTATTTCCTAGCTCTTTGTATGTTAAAAAATAGTCTGATTTTTCTGAGCTAGAAATACATATTGTTTCTGTCCAAGAGCGTAGGGACATAAATATATAAAACGTTTGATTTTTGATGAATACACTTGTGGGAAGCTGGAGACAGACGTTTGATGTTCATAAGCTGCAAGATCAACTTCCCTTCCAAAGGTTTATGTAGAAAGCTTAAGATGAATAAGTCTTAAAACTTCAAAAGCTTACTCGAAGTATGGATTATTACAAGTCTGCCAGTGTCACAGTTTGCTGTTGACACATGCAGACAGTGTTGATTTCATGGAGCTCTAGGTACTGGTTGGGTTTTTTTAAGCCAAGAGGCAAATTGTTTTCCTTTTAAATTTATTTGTTAGTTTGCCTTTTTTTTTCTCCACCATTAAAAAGGTATTGATACCTTTCTCTGGTTTTAGTCCGTTAGCACTTTTTGCATTGGTTGGTTGTTTCTTCTTGTTGTTGTTGCTTGTTCGTTTTTCAACTTGTTTAGTCTTCAAGAGGGACTGGAATGGATCTGTAAGTGGTGTGGTAATTGCCTAGCAAAACAGTCATGTGAAGGAACAGCACCTGTTGTCCATGCAAGATCAATTTTTTTTTTTTCTCCTCTGAAGATCATTCTAGATGTTCCCAGAAAGTGTATTCATTTTTTCTTTTTGGATAAACAAATTAAACATCAAAATAAAATGTGTTTGGAAAAAAAATCTGATTTTTCTCTCTTCCTCGGTCTCACTTTTTCATGGCTTGCACAAGTGTTTTGCTGCATTGATACATTTATTATTTTTTCCCATAAATTGACCTAAAGTAAGGTGTAGAAGCTGCTCTGTTTTCATCATGTTTAGAAGTGATTGTAAAATGTGGTTATATAGAGCTCTTGAGAAAGCAGCCTGGAGTTGTAAATTTTAGTCTTTAGATATGTTGGAGAACATCAAAGAATCTGTTTGATGCCAGAGAATTTCTTTTGTAGCGGTGCTCAGTTTCAGCGTCAATTAAAGGTGATCAGCAGCATTTTTTTGTACAATAGCTCCATCAATATGAAGGGAATTGGTAACAGCTGGCACTATATTTTGAAAGATAGACTAGATTTTCAGACATTACACCCTGTGTTCAAGTTGAAATGTACTGAGACCAATACATGGTTTACAGTAAGTATTTGTGTGGTTTCTGCCTAGCAAGTGAGTCGTGTTTGATTTTATCATTCAGGTAAAAACAGATGACATAGCACGAATCTATCAGCCCAAGCGCTATGCATTATCTCCAAAGTCAACTATTACATTAGCTCACCTTCTTGCTGCTCGAGAAGACCTGTCAAAGATCATAAGAACAAGTAGTGGATCGACACGAGAAAACACGGTCTGTGCCATCAACAAGGTATGCATTTGCTTTCTGGGATGTGATAAAAGGACATGGGAGTGTACAGGCCTATCACACGTCATTAATGACTCTTTGCTTAATATTTTCATTTATTTTCACAAAATACTTGGCGCTTTAAGAGAGGAAATCTGCATCATTCCAGTAGACATTGCAGCAACTTCTTTTTTACCTTATTACACAGTCAGTCATGCAACAGGATGGAACGTTAGTGTGGATGAGAAAGAGCAGTGGTGGGGGGTTGTGAGTGTGTAAATGACCTCTTGAGTGCACACCTCAAGTTAAGGATACATGTGAGCTGCTTGTAAATCAGCGTTTTTTATTGTGCTAGTGCTTGTGTATGATAAAAGCTGAAGCTTGTGCCATTAGTTTCACCATTCAGATGATGACTACGCCTTTTTTTATGAATCCTTTATTTATAGAATTTTCTAAAGTTTTGTGCCTCATTTAGATACCCTTTAATATGTTTTGATCCCAAAGATTCTGAAATTTCTTAATTATTGCCGTATCAAGGAAAAATAACTTTCTCTGAGAGAGTGCTTTAATTGGAAGTGCCTGGAACTGCCCAGTGCATGTTAACATTCATCACACCGAGAGTGTAGGAAATACGAAAACAACAACCAAAAGACCTACTTGGATACCTTTGTTCTTCAACTTAATGTTTTGTGTAACTTTGTCCAGTACAGTCTCCCTTTTTGTACGCAGAATAATATCCACCAGAGTCAAGATCTCTTCTTTGATTTTAATTTTGTTCACGGCGTCCTGTAGCGTGTTATGTAATTTGTCTGATCCAGCTCTCTGCTGAGTGTCACTAGTTTTTAGTCTAAGGCAAACTGGTGCTCCTTTTAGAGTTGCACATCAGTTTGACAGTTGTTTTTTCTGCCAGTTGATTAGATTCAAATGTGAATTTTGAAACTGAAGTAGAAGAGCTGCGTTGTAAGGAGTCCTTTCTATATGAATATGTATTTATATGTTCGTATATAACAGTTGTGTATATTGCCTATTGTAATACTTCACATGCATTTAGTTATCTTCATAAAGGTCTCACAAAAGTAATATGGGCTAGCTAGATGCAGTTATTTCAATTTTAGAAGTGGAAAATGGGTTCACTTTCAGACTGCTGTTGTGTTGTGGTGAGTTATAAGGACAGGAGATAGGGATTCTGTGTCAAGCTCCACACGAAGGGGTCAATATTTACTCTAAAGAGCGGGCAGCATGTTTGTGTGCATAGGAGAACCCTGTGCTGCCCCTTTAGGTTATTATTACTTCTTTTTTTTTTTTAATAAACTAAAAGTCACCTATTTTTCCATATAGGTTCTGATGGGGAGAGTACCTGACCGTGGAGGCAGACCAACAGAAATTGAACCACCTCCTCCCGAAATGCCTCCTTGGCAAAAAAGACAAGAAGGTGGTGGAAGAGGTGGCTGGGGA